GCATATTTGTTATGAATCCCACTTGATCATGATTATTTTTTTATATTGTTGGATTTTACTGATCAGGATTTTTTTGCATTTATGTTCATGAAATGTATTAAGTTATAGTATTTTTGGTGATTTAATTTTTCATTTTAATATTAGAGTTATACTCACTTCACAGAATTTCTTCATTTTCTAGTTTTTAAAATAATTTAAGTAGAATGTTTGGTAGAATTCACTTGCGAAGACTTCTGGGTTAGGACTATTTTTTTAGGGAGTCTTTTTATTCCCTGCTCAATTTCATCTTTTGTAATGGGTCTGTTCAAGTGCTCTACTTCTGTCTGTGTTAGTTTGGGTAAGGTATAAACTTCTAGAAATCTGCCCATTTCTTCTAGGTATTGAAATTTATTGGAGTACAGCTTTTAATAATATTCTGTTATTGATGATTTAATTCCATAATATTCTTTAATTTCATAATACTCTTACTGATTTAATTTCAGCTGGTTCTGATGATGTTAACTTATTTCCTTTTTGAGTTACTTGTGTCTTTATTAAGTTTATCTATTTCATTGACCCTTTGAAGACTCAGCTCCTGGTCTTGATGGTTTCAGTTGTTTTTCTGTTTTCAATTCCATTGGTTTCAGCCCTTATCCTTAAAATTTCCTATCTTCTAGAAGCTATGGGATTAATTTGTGTTTCTTTTCCTATTTGCTAGATGTGTTAATTTATTTTGCTCTTATTTTTCTGTGTTTGCCTAGTGCTGTGAACTGTATCCTGAAGACTGTCTTAGCTGTATCCCAGAAGTTTTGCTATGATGTACTTTCATTTTCATTTGTTTTGACAAACTTTTTAATTTCACTTTTTATTTCTTCTAAAACACCAGTAACATAGATGGACAATCTCCTCCCATGTAATTTACTGTCTCTGAAAACCTTCTGGAGGGTCAACTATGGGTCAGTTTTGTCTCAATGACATGCAACAACAATAACATAACACCAGTTTACGTTATGCTAAGCAGGGTTTTATTTTGCTTCCATGTGAGTGATTTTTTGTTGTTGAATGTTTTTCTTTTTATATAGTTGTTCTTCAATAGATGAAGGGATTTTTAAAATATACTTTATTCTCTAATTTGTAGTTTTATGGCATTGTGGTCTAAGAAGATACTTTGTATTATTTTGATTTTTTTTTTAATTTGTTGAGGCTTGCTTTGTGTCTTAATATATAGCAAAATTCTGGAGAATATACCATGTGCTCTTGAGAAGAAAGTAAATTGAATGTTAGCTGGGTTAGGTACCCTGAATTAATCTATTAGGTTGATTTGGCTAAGTGTATAGTTTGGTGTTTTTGCATCTTTGTTGAGTTTCTTTTGAGTTGTCCTATCTTTTGGTGAGAGTGGTGTGTTATATTCGCCTACTACTATTCTGTTGCTATTTCTTTCTTCTAATTTGTTGGCTTTTGTATTTTGCAGGCCTAACATTTGGTGAGTAGTTGTTGAATTAGGTTATGTCTCCTTTATCTATTGTGTCTTTAATAGTTATGTACTGCCCCTTCCTTATCTCTTATGATGATTTTCATCCTGAAGTTCATTTTATCAGAGATTAGTATTGTACTCCTGCTTTCTTATGGATGCCATTTTCTTGATATGTTTTTTCCCAACCTTTGACTTTTAGAATGGCTTTCTCTTCATTTCTTGAATGTATCTTTTGTTGTCAACATATTGATGGTCTTTGTTTTTTATCCATTATGCTACTTTTTTCTATTGATAGGTACACTGAAGCCATTCATATTAAGCATGATTATTGACATACAAGTTTCTTCATTGCCATTTGGCTACATTCGTTTGTTTTTGCTGAATGCTTTGGTCCATTCACTCGTTTGTCATTTCTTTGTGAAGGATTTCTCTTAGTATTTCTCATAGAGTTGGTCTTGTTTTCATTCATTCCTTACGTTCCTGCTTTTATGCAAATGACCTAATTTCTCCGTCATATTTGATGGACAGATTCACTGGGTACAGGATCTTGGCTGGGAATTGTTTTCTTTCAGCCTTCTGTATATGCCATCCCGTTGTCTTCTTGCTCAATGGTTTCTGTTGAGAAATCAGAGCTTAGTCTAATTAATTTCTCTTTGTAGGTGGCTATTTTCCTTGTGCTGCTTTTAATATTCTCTTCTTGTCTTTGATTTTGGAGAGCATTTGACTATGGCATATCCTGATGTTTTTCTTTGGGGTCTAGTCTGTTTGGAGGTCACTGAGCTTCTTAGATGTCATTTTCCTTTTTTTATGATATCTGGGAAGTTTTCTTCTAAACACTTTTTCTATGCAACCCTTCCACAATTTTCTCAGTGTTTCCCCCTTTCTACTCTTGTTTCGGAATTCCATTGCATTATTTCATTAGATGTTATATCCCATGATTCTAATGCTTTCTTCATTTTCTTTTATTTTCTTCTAGTAAGTTCTCATTGAGCTTCTTATCTTCTAGTTCACTGATTCTCTGCTCTGTATTCTCTTCTATTCTGGTTTTGTTTGTTTGTCCCTCCAACATGTTAAAAATTTCTGAAATATTGGGTTTTATGTTCTGGATTCCATATTTATGCATTTCTGTTGTTTCTAGTACTTTGTTGGTTGTTGCCTCTCTTATCTTGTGATGATTTGTAAATTCTTTTGCCCCTTTAAAGTTTCATCTCTTTCTTCCATCATTAATAACTTCTTCATTTCCAGTTCATGTAACTTCACATCAATATATTTCTTTTGCCTCTCTGTCTCTAGGGTATTCATTAGGTCTTTGGTCTTATTTTTGGAGAAGGCTTGTTTTGTTTTTCATAATGTTTGAACCTGCCTGCTATTTCCTTGATACTATGTGAAGTTCTTCTTGATAAGTTGAAGCAGTTTCTGTTGGGTGTACATAGATTCTTGTCAGTTTCTTATCTTTGATGCTATTAATGGAGTTAAAGACTTTATGCATTACCCCACTTCAATTTAACAGTGACAGTCTTTTCTGCTGGTCATGTATGGTGGCTTTGTTCTCTGTTTCCTATGGTAAGCTTCTCATCAGGTTGTCTTTGGAGAGGCGGGGAGCTGATATATTTCCCTTTGCCAGGCTGTGTTGGGCCCAATTCTCTGTCATGTCCTGTAGTTGGATGGGAGGGGCCAGTTTCCTCCAGGAGTGGTCAAAGACCTAGGAGTGCTTCCTAGGACATTTCCTTCCCTAAGTTTCAAAAGGTGTTAGTGGCCAGTGTTGTCCTCATTGTTTTCTTATATTGAGGATTGCAGCTGAGAAATTTTATGCGATGTTTTCTTTCAGCTCTTGATCTTCTGTCTGTGAGATGCTGTGTTGTATATATTTATTAACTTATGAGCATTTTAATGTTTATGAATTCATGGAACATTTCAGTTTGAACACTCAAATGATTTTATCCCCCAGCTCAGGAAATTGTTCAGTTAATCATTCTCTTTGCCCACTTTTTAAAAATTATATGATTGCTTACTTCATATTAGTTTTCTCTTTCTCAGAAGATTCCATGGTTTAGTCTTTACATTGACAATTCCATTTGATAATTTATATATTTTACTATTTAACCTTCTTTGACATTTGAAAATAAACTAATACCTTTTTCTCAGAATTTTTGAAAAGCCTTTTTACATTGTAATTGTTCTAATTGTATAACTCTTAACTATCTCTAAAGAAAATATTTCAGGTTTAATTTAATGTTCTCTTTTTATTTCTTGCATTTGCTATTTCCTGAGAAGTCAATTCATTTTATTAATCATTTTGATGTTTCTCTTACATTCTGTTTTTGGCTTATGAGTCGGTTATATACACACATCTGATATCAGCTACTATATGTATCTATGCCAATTGTCTTTGTCAGGGTCCTTGATGATTATAATTATTACCTTCTTAGGCATCTCCCTTGCATATAGTAGCACTTAGGACATGGTTCTGTGGTGTACTGTACATTTCAGAATGAGCTAACCCTCCACCCCCATCACCAACCCTTGACTGCATAAATAGAAGAGGAGCTATGTTGGGGTAAAACATTTTAGGTGTTGTTAAATACAAACAGGCCTTCACTGGTTACTGTTTGTGTAAATCCTCAGGTTTATGGGTCCCTCTTATTTTCTTCTGAACACTCTTTTTTCCCAGCTCCAAAGTCCATGTTGGAAGGCCTATGTCATGCTATAAAGCCTTTAAAAGAAAAATACCCAGTCTCTTCAATGGAACAGAAATAGACTGTTGTATACCTCTAATCTGACTACCATGTAAGCTCTACAAAGATAAAAATTGTATGTTCAACTCCCTGCTCAGGAAGCTCTGGTGACATTAAGAATTCACACTACCAACCCAAAGGAAGCTAATTCAAATCCGCCAGTAGCTCCATGGGAGAAAAATGGACAGCCTTTTCCCATGTGATTCAACTGCCTCTGAAAACCAGCTGGAGGATCAGCTGTCAGTCACTTCAGACTTGAATGCACACAGCAATCACAACGACTCAGTGCTCAGTACTAGGAACATAGTCGATGTACCATAAAGGTTTAATAAACTACAGCAGCTTTCTTTGCAATTAAAAATATTCAAATGCTTCAGGTTAGTAATTTATCTTCTAGAAATCTGTCCCAAGGAAATACTCAGACATGTTCACAAAGTTTTATGTACAAGGATGTTCATACTATGTAAAGTTGTGAAAAATTAAAACAATTCTGAATTCTAAACATGGCTATCTATATGCATAGACTAAATATTTAATAGAAATCATTTATGTTAATTTATCTTTCCTGAGGTTCAGTCAGCTGGGAGCAGTAAAACTTACTTTAAAAAAAATAGGTTAATAGGATGCTTTTAAATTATACTTTAAAAATTACTATTATTTATAGTAGTTTGGTTTAGTATTTTAATATTTATGTTGCTAAGTAGTTTATAGAGAATCAATCTGACAACAAATAAATGAAACTGATTTTTTATGTACTCATATTTATAAAAGACATTAAAATTCAATAGAGTATGTTTTTTGTTTTATTCCAGAAAACAGCTCCTTGAAAATGGTGAGGTAAAGTTTTCATTTTAATCTCTGGTAGATTTGTGTATTAAATTCTGGCTCAAAGATGATTCAGAGTATAGCTGTGCTGCTGATATAATAGCATCAGTAGTAGTTGGATTTTTCAGCATTGGTAATAAATTTCTGCTGCTCATTTTCAGTCTTTATAATGTGTTCTTAGTTTTAAATAAGCATTAAGATTTGAAGCCAGGAAAAAAAAAGATTTGAAGCCAGAAGCTTGTTTATGATAATGAAATATAATTAAGTAACCTTCATTTATACACTCTTTCATTGATTCAAATATAATAGCATTTGCTTTCACAGTGTCTTAGCATACTGTGTTAATCAGCTGCAGCTCATCAGAGCAGGCACCTATGTCTCTGTAACTGGTGAACTTGTGCCACCACACTCAATGGACAGTCATGAACATAGCAGTGCTGTAGGATGCAAGGCATGGTATATGTAGAGTTCCTGCCCACAAGTGTATAGAATTTTATGAAATAGAAATACACTGCAGTTCCTAAGGCATGCAGTTCGAGGCCACAGGCTGCTCCATGGGAGAAGAATGGGCAATCTCTTTCCATTGATTAACTGCCTCTGAAAACCCACCAGAGAGTGAGCTATGGGTCGGTTCCAACTCAGTGCTACACACCAACCAACAACCATGCTTAATTATTTTGAAGCTTATAGTAGAAGGAAGCTGGAGTGGCATCCACTTCCTAAACAACATGCCTCTAGAAACACTATGAACTTTGAGAAACTACGATAGTTATAGAATATTTCAGATCTTTTGTTCATAGGGTCACTGTGAGTCACGCTCAACTTGATGGTAATCAACAGCAACAACATAGTAAGAAAGGGAAAGACCAATCAATGTTGGCAGAAAACTTTCATAAGAGATGGGGCTTTAAATGAGTCTTAAGGAAAAGACAAAATTTACAGAACAACTAAATTTGACCTTAAGAGAACTAGCTCATGATAATATTTTAAAATAGTTACTCTATGCCATGTGCTATGTCATTTGATTTTCAATTGGCAAACAAGGAAATTATGTTATTTTGATGATGCCAACTATTAAAAAAAATTAACATTTCAGATAACAGCTTTCTGAGACGAAGTTGAATTCCGTGCTCACAAATATTATAAATTTCAAGTCAGGAGTTCTAGACAAGCAAGTGGCTCTATAGTAAGCAGTGGTTGAAAGATCCAGAAGGATACAGACTCTGGCACCTTGTGGCTTTTCCCTCTTTGATGTGGGGACTCTAGGGTTAATGCACTTACCTACATCAGGTAAGCAAAGAAGAATATGTGCTCAGGCAGTTCTATAAGCATGCAATCATTTTGTTCTTACATCCTGAATTCACTGAATGACTGTTCCAAATTGCCACAACAGCTCTCGCTGGGTCCAAGAATAACAAAGGCAATCTCAGCCAAGAAATACAGACCTGAAGAAATTAATTACCTTACCTAAAGCCTCACATTCTCCATAGAAAAGAATATGGCATCAGGATTGGAAAAAGACTCATCAGCAACCTGCATTGTGCAGGTGACACACACTGCTTGCAGAAAGTGGAAAGGGCTTGAAATATTTGCCACAGAAGATAGAAAACTACAACCTTTAATACTGACTACATCTCAACATAAAGAAAATAAAAATCCTCACCACTTGACCAATAGGCAACATGATGATAGATGGAGAAAATATTAAAGTTATTTCAGTTTACTGAGCTCCACAAACAACCCCCATGGTAAGAGAAGTCAAGAAATCAAAAGACATCTTACATTGGGAGAATCTGGGCATTTCCAAAAGTACTAACTAAGAGCAGCTATGTTAGTTTAATGACTAAGGTAAGCCTAATCCAAACCAGGGTTCTTCCCCCGCCCCATTTATTTCCCATGTATATAAAAGTTAGACAGTGGAAAAAGTTGACAATGAAGAAGAAAAATCCATGCCTTTGAGTTCTAGTGTTATAGAAGCATACTGACTATCCAAAAGAACAAACAAGTCTGTCTTGCAGGAATTACAAGCAGAGTGCTTCTTAGAGACAATGATGGTGAAACTTTGGCCATGTTGCCAGCGGGGAGCCAGTTCTTGGGAAAGGCATCATTTTGAGAAAGGTGGAAAGTCAGAGAAAGAGAACTGACAAAGAGGTACCTCCACAAGATGGACTAACACAGTGACTATAACAATGATCTCAAACATATCATGGGACATGAAGAAGGTGCAAAATATGGCAAGATTCAAATCTATTGCTTTTAGGTTCACTGTGAATTTTAATTAACTAGATGGCTCCTCACAGCAACAACAGGGTGTCAGAGCTAATCTATATGAAGCTTAGACTAGACGACTATAAACAGTCTACTACCAGAATGTTCAAGTGTGATGTAATACTCTGTTAACTCTATGCAGAACATTTTTCCCTGAGTGATTAATACATATTAACAATTATACACTACCTACAACCCTTGAGGCTGTTGTTGTTACTACGTACTATCAAGTCAGTATTAACTTGTAGCTGACCATACAGTGGGTTTTCAAAGGAGAAGATTAATCATCATTCTTCTGTGGAGCAGCTGATGAACTCCAATCACATACCTTGAGGTTGTTGTTGTTGTTGTTGTTATATGCCGTCGAGTCGCTTGCGACTCATAGCG